AAAAAAGCCAGAAAATAATTATATATTATATTATAAGAGAATGTTATCTTAATTGATAATTTACATTATATATTTATTCTAAAGGCTCATTAAATTAAATTAAATAATTTTGAAATTCTTTCTTTTTGAGAAACTGATGAGAAAAGTCTAAGATTAACAAAGTATACAAATAGTTATCTTTACAGTTAACTAATTGTTTAATGAATATCAAAGAGCATTTGGCTAATAAAAGGTAATTTTTCTATAATTAATTAAGATGATAGAATGCATTATATTAACATCACTTTGAATTTTGCAACAGTAATGATTTAGAAAAGATATATTAATATTATATTTTTTAAGATTACATAAAAGTACCAGAATCTAATCTTTAAAAATTTTTGAATTTAGGTATAGCTAAAAATTAAGAAGAGATTTTAGTAGCCATTTTTTAAGTTATAGTTGAAGGAGAAAGATATGTGTAATCATGTCTAAAAGGCTTATATTATTTAATGAAACTAATAAGATATCATTAAGTAATTATGTGTGTTTATAATATAGGTAAGCTACTCTATAAAACAATTTTAAGTAGAAGATGCAAGATAACATGTTTCTTAAAAGGTAAAATTTCTTTTTTAAAAGAATTCTAAAAGGTTCTATAATGTAATTAGCAACAGCTTCTGATAGATAAGAAAATTGTGTACAATACTTAATACAAGGTATAGTGATTATATTGAATATATAGATCAATTATTTATTAGTAAGCTTTTTGTTAGACAAGGTCAAAACTAAAGATGTTATTGCAACATTGTGACACTTATTTGTTACCTGTTGCAACTTAAATTTTAATAATGTTGCAATTCGTTACAATATTGTGATGCCTATTTGTCACCTGTTACAACTAATTGAGGCGCCATCTTTAGTCAAAACAGTAAATTTAATATCTTAAAAAAAACTTTTCCCCTCTTTCTCCAAAACCAAAAAAATGGGAAAAAAAAAATCAAAAATTTTCACAAAATAATAATCGCAACTTGTGAACTCGTTCTGACTCTCCAACAAAAAACAAAAAAGAACCTTTCCAGAAGAAAACTATGACTGGCAGGTCTGCTCAAACACTAGAAACTCCAGCTGGACTGTCAAACGTCGTAACTACTACCAATATTTTATCAGCTGGTAATATGAGCATAGACCAACAAGTAAAAGCAGTCCTCACAGAAGGCAAAAACTTTGAATACAAAAAAAATACCTAGTTTTCCAGAGAAAATAATACACAAGAAATAACTACTACTAGTACTTCTCCTATCTTCTAACTAAAGGATAGTGAAATGATGGCCTCTAGTGCTGATAATAAAATAGACGAAGACTAGGCCTTCGATACTTCCGAAAATTTATTAAACAACAAAGACACTAGCAAGAATACCATTACCTTTGAAAGAATCTGGGATACGACTACTTTCTATATTTACTGCGCTGCCAAAACCTTTCTTCCTAATAAATCCTTTAGAGAAAGACTAACAAAGTCTGCGAACTTTTCAATGGCGTAGCATTCCTGTCATTCATTGATGCGTCAATCAAGCAAGACCCAGAAAATAGAACGTTAAAAATAGTTCATTTAGGATTTATAACTCGAGATAACGCCAATCGTGCTATGGCTGCAAAAATTTCCAATATGAATAACATCATGTTTATACCTCTTGTTACACCTGCTCTGTTCAAATTTGACCTGAATCTGTTGATCAAGATCATAGAAATCCTGATCTCCACATTAGAGCAGATCATCCGATTTACGTTTGCTTAATTCAGTACGATCACTAAATGTACAATGTTGACGAAAAATCTTTGGCAACAGGCAACTATTTCGTATGCATTTAAGACAGACTTGTCCTTTTTTAATTCTCATGCTGGCCTCTTCATTTTGAAAAATATGATCGGAGTACACGTATGTTCTCTCACAGTCGATAAAATCAAGGCTCATTCCCAATTTGCTTTGAAACTTACAAACCTTTCTAAGGACACTACTGGTAAAGAATTAGAGCCTATCGGTAAAGCAGTTAATGCTATAATATAAATGATCCCTAAAATACGTTCAAATTATAGAAATCTCCAAAACGCTTTTATGCATTTTAGTAATAAAGAAGATCTCGATGCAGCAAAAAATGGGAACCCTATTGAGTTTGATAATAGGAAACTCATCTGGATCGCACCTGATACTAACCTATGCATACATTATTCCATTTTTGGGTATGACTTGTGAAATTGTAAACGCAAAAGACCAACTCCCAAAGACAGACAAATACAAAATCTCTACCAACGCTATAAGCCTGTGCAATTCAAAATTATTCAGCACCTACGTCCTGTCCTAAGGTAACGTTCGTATATGACTAGGAAATCATATTTGACCTAAAAAATCCCTGCTCATTTGCAAACAGAATTAAGGATGTCAAACCTCCAGCTAAAACTCCTTTAACACATACTAAGGATCCTAAGATTCTAAAGAATAAATCCTCTCTTGATGAATCAATCCACACACGGAAATCATGATCAGAACAAATGGACGAGGCAGACGTACCTTACCGATCACCTAAAACACCTATACACGAATTAATGGATACAAAAAAATCTTAAATCAATTGGATACTATCACGGCAACCCTTGCAATAATTCACAACGACCTTGCTTTTTTGACGCACCATCTTGATAAAGTGGAAAAACACCTAAATATTTTTACACTTATACCAAAGAAAGCTGCTAAACTCAATGAAGTGACCAAGGCTGAAGGTGCCATAGACACAGATACTGTCTATAAACCAGAAGTCGACATATCAGACTCTCAAGTTGTCGAACAAGAAAAGCATATCACAATACTTCATACAGAAACTGAAGAACTATGAAAATATAACAAAATCACGGTAGAAAAACTCAATATCACCTTCAAAGCCGTTGCCAACATCCAACATATGATCTTAGATGATACACACCCTGCACACATAATTCCAATTCCCAAACTCAACATGCTCGGTACAGTCGACACTTTAGAAGATGGCACAGAAGTTCCCGCCCCAGAACTCTTCTTTAAATAATTATGATATTACAACTATTTAATACAAAAACAGTGCCTTCACACTCAACATCGCCATCCATAACACTTGTTCTTTTACTTTAGCGCATAAATAACAAATCCTTTTTAATCTCTACTCTCTTTATAATTTAGACATTATCACCTTACAAGAAACAAATTTTAAAAATTCATCTCATATATATTTTTTAAAGCCCATTTGTTCAAACAAATTTGTTCCCTTTTTTAACATTGACTTCTTCACCTAAAACATGGGGTTTGGAGTTGGCTTTCTCATTAAAAAACACCGAGTTGACCATGTTTTTCACCACTTCTTCTTTCATTGCATCTATTTGATAGATTTCTAATTTAAAAACAAACACAAACTCCGTATTATTAATGTTTATATTTCCAGTTCAGATAAACCATTATAAGACAAAACTTACAAAAAAGCTTTAGATTTAATAAACAATGCATACCAAAAGGATTTCCTTACAATAATCCTTAGGGATATCTATCATAGACCTCTAATCCTTCGAATTCAAAAGCTTTTTTCACTTTGCTTAATAATCTCCACATGGTCAACAATTTAGATCTCGTCAAGAATCAAAAATCGAACAACGATCTCATTATCTATGAAACTAGTACAGGACGTTCTACGATAGATCACATTTTTATGCACTTCTCATTAATCCCAGACCTTATCAATCAAGTAGTAGAAAAAGTTGACAATGATTTGTCAGATCATGCTGTTGTATATGCTACTATTTCAGTAACATTTATCAATCCATCTTTTATTCAACGTATAGCAATAAAAAAGTTAGTCTATCGATATGACGAGCTGTCTGATGATGATTGGTCTGCCTTTGGAATCTCAGTCGATCAACAATGTAAAAGTACCAGACTTAACAATATGTTATTAAATAGTATACACACAATATACCATTTGAACTACTATTAGGATTTCCTATAGAAATCAATTATAGACGCTGCCACCAAATCCCTAACAAGTATACTTCATATCACAACCAAGATCTTAGACCACGTATTCTTAAATTGATTTATAAATGTATAAAGATAGTTCAAAAACTTTGCAAGTCAAGTAACAAATGCATCATAGATAATATAGTCGACCTCAAATGGATTACCTGATGTAAAAAGATTCAAGCCTTCTCAACAAAATATGCTATAACAATTCCTTATATCAATCAACCTTCAATACAAGAAATCAAAAAGATTCATCTCCTGTTAGTCGATCTTCATAACACTGGTCAAAATTAAAAAAATCAGACATGCGAAAAATTGGCCTAAATTTGGCCTAAATTCAGCAAATTATTAAAAAATCAGCCTAGCCGATTGGCATACACTAGAAATCAGCCAAGAATCGGCTGAAATTTGACCTATCTTATTTATAGCCGATTGGCATACTTATTGCCAATTGATATACATCAAAAATAGACTAAAATTTGACCTATCTTATTTATAGCCGATTGACGTCCGATTTACATCTGATTGATATATATCAAAAATCAGCTAAAATTTGACTCATCTTATTTATAGCCGGTTGACGTCCGATTTACATCTGATTGATATACATCAAAAATCGGCTAAAATTTGACCTATCTAATTTATAGCCGATTGGCATACTTATTGCCGATTGATATACATCAAAAATCGGCTAAAATATTTCAAAATAAAATAAAATTCAGAAGGAAATATAACTGATATTT